TAATACTTCTTAAAAAAATAAACTAATAACAACAGTCATAAAATAAAATTTTTGCATTCTTTTTTATCGTATTAAATATATAATTAAAAAATTATTTCCTTGCATATTAGTTGCATGTTTTTTTTGATACTTATTAGTGTTAAAAATTCGTAATCTAATAATAACTTACACAAGTATTCTATTAGTTATTACAATTTTATTACAAGTGTCTATAGTATTAAGAGCATGTAAGTGTACAACTCTTATTTTGTAGTATGTATTGTTAAAATTCCGTAACATTTGAACCAAAATAATTCTTCAATAAATGGGGGGGGGGGGAAATGAAAATATAGGTAATAGATGCATTGTTTTAAGCTCATATACTGTAAACGAATGTTTGAATTAGGTGACTACCAACATATATAATTATTTATTTTGAAATTTTTGAATTTTTAGATATTATTGATTTTATTAACTCTTTTTTTGGCCGGATAAGGATAAACTTAGGGCCTTATAATATTGAATCATTTTTTTACATTTATTTCAATATATTTAATTTTTTCCGTAAATTAAAACTCTTAATAAGTTTAATCTCTTGTTTTTCACATTCAGAGCATCTCATACTAAACTTTTCGTGATTTTAAGAACATTTTTTAAGGTAATTTTTATTTCATTAAATTCCAAGGATTAAAATATTGATTAGTTTATATATTTTATGCTTTTTCACGTATCTATATTATATGTTCCAAAAATATTGATATTTTAGTGAATCGTAAGTAGATTTAAGTATAATAGGTTATGTAAATATATCTGGGTTCCGGATGTTTACATACATAGGATATATAATATTATCAGAGCTTTGCATATTATATTTGACCTATTTCAGAATATTGCTTGGTATGTTTTACCGTTTTGGTAGAAAACATCCAATCGCGCAGACGTTCGCATATTTTGATGTTACAACAAATATGCCTAGATATTTTATAAATAGTTTCACATGGAAAATCAATAAAACTCAGATCATTAGGTATTTTATTTTAATACGGAAAACAATTTGTATGCATTATAATAATTTATAAGTATCCAATATGGGTAATTTAAAAAAATTGTAAGAATACAATAGTAAAATAACGCTGATTGTATTTGACGATGTTAAGTAAAAAATATTCAGAATGCACGATCGAATGACTCTTGTTTTTGCATTGTCTTTTTTAAGCTGAAAAATAAATATAAACAAATTAATAATTATAGGTTCACACTACACATGTTCTGAATAATGGTTTTCTATCAACAATATAATATTATTGAAATTGTTTAGCGAATGATACAATCAGCTTAATGTGCTGTACTCGTACGTCGGAAAATATGTAAGCATAGGTATTAGATAAATATATTATTTTGATTTTTTAACTTCCCATTTAGATATGATTAGATACACAATATAAACAAGTAAGGAAAGCTCTCTTTGTAAGCTTGTAAGTTTCAGGTTTTTAAACGTATTTTTATACAACACCGCAATAATAGGTATAGTTGCATATTATATACAGTTTAAAAATAGTTATTTGGTGATCTTTATATTTTGGTAAGTATACCTAGGTACCTGTTTTCATAAAAATTTATAATTTATTAACACATGAGTGGATGGTATGAGTTATAACCGTTAAACGATATTTAGCAAAAATATTATAACAATTTTGTGAGCATTTATGTCTTAAGTATTTGTAGATTAGATAATCGTTATTAGTATATAGGTATAGATGATTTTGTATTAGGTACACGTCACAGGTGTGAGTTTGTATTATACTGAAGTGGTATAAAACTGTATTATACGACTATAATACCAGGTATTATACACATGGTATATAATTATTTTATAGGTTGTGTTAAAAGAAATAAATGTATAATAATATAATTAGAAAATTAATTTGATATTTAAGAATATGACTTACTGTGTGTTGTAACTACATTGTTTAAAACGAAAATTATTTCTGGTCAATATTATAGTAACAACTGCAGGATTGGTTGCACGACTTTAATATTAATTTACTCTAAGATAATTCTTGTATTATTGTGGTTTTTGAAATGTACTCTTAAATTATTATGACCATTTTAAAATTGGTCATAATATTCAATAGTGTATAACCTGTGTTAAATTGTTCATAATTTATGGTATACCTGCAAGGTCCTACACGGTATAATACTGGTATAATATCGGTATTGTAAAAAAAAATCTTTATCGTATTTTAACATCTCTCGTTATTGTCTCAACGTTATTGTCTATGATGGATAATGATGGATGTTACCTATATGTGATTATTTAGATTCAGAGCGGGGAAACGATTGGTATTCTGTTGTCGTATGTTTTCCCTGGCCAATACTTCAATTCAATGTGAAATGACTTGGGTATAAGTTACGTTTTACATATTATTATATTCCTATTCACCTCGAGGGGTTTATACATGATTTATCATACAACATTACTACGTTTATACTGCTTTCCACGTCCGTTACTTACAATTATACACGAAAGTGTGTGTGGAAAAGCATCGTATCTCTATACTGGTTATATAGTTGTTATAGCGTATTTTTACAGTGATTTATATGGAAATAGTGGCGTATTTAAGCCGAGACCATGGGCCCCAGGGCCCCGGGCACGTCCAATTTGGGGAGGGGGGCATAGTACTATTTATCATTACATAAACCGAGAAAATATTTATTTTTTTCATCAAACGAAGGATCGACAAGTTAATTTTTAACTTTTAAAGTTTATGATGTTATTGTTTTCAATACATATTTTGTAAGCGCTTGGTAAAACAATGCATTATTATCGTTAACGTATGTTGACAATTTTTTTTGGTGAAGCTTTTAGCATCACTATATCTACAGTGCTAGGCAACTTGATGTCAGCGCACTGTTTGTTTTCACCCTCTCACACAAGCGCAACATACACAAAACGCGTTAACACAGTCTGAACTCATTTAATTTTAGTTTTTAGATAAAAATACCTATTGTCAAATTGAAATATAAGAATAAAACAGTGCGTTTATTAAAAATAAAATATTTGAAATGGTCGTTATTTCTAAACAATAGAAACAATATAAGTGTGTTATATTAGGAATAATGAAAAAAACGCACCATTTTGCTCTTTGAAATATTGTCATATTTTCATTTTAAAATAGGTATTTTTACTCTATAGCCCAAATTGGGTGAGTTCTACTCAGACTGCGCAAAAGCGTTTTGTGGCAAAAACTTTTGTTTATGAGGCGAGTATATGGGTGAGAGACAGAAAACCCACAGTGCCCTGACATCCTATTAATGATTTTTTCAATCAAACGAAAAACAGACAAGTCCATTTTTAAGTTTTTAAATTTATAAAGTTAATGTTTCCAATACATTTTTAAGTGCTTAGTAAAACAATTATTATCATTTAAGTATTTTTTTTAAATATTTTTGGGCTTTGTATAATATATATTTTTATTTTCTAACCGATTTTGCGCAACGCTTAGAATAATATGTAAAAATGACCTAATTCCCACTAGGTATATATATGCAATTAATACATAGGTTCACTTTTTTCGAAGTGGAAAATTTCGAGTTGCGTGCTGCTTTGATGTCACACTTTCAACTTAAATTAGGTACCTTGTAAGAACTTATGATATAATGAGTCGACAGTTGTAAAATATGTATGGGTTTTTTTTTTGTTAACTTTTAGCATCACTATTTACAAAGCTGGGCAGGTTTATGATTTTATTTAACTCAGTTATGATAAGTTAATATAATAATACGGTTTACACAGCACACACTGACACTGCTGACTTGTTCAACAATTTTGTACGTACTAACAGTTAAAAAAATATAACACAAAGTCGAGGTAACTTATCTAAAAAAAACATAAACTACTTAACCAGTCTAAACGATATGTCAATATAAGGTTAGCAAAAAACTATTTTATAAGAAACGTAAACAATAAAACGACTACCTACTGACATACAATTTTAAACGGCAAGAACTAAAATTGCAAATATGTTGCCGGTAGAATAATTTAACTCAAACCTCAATAATTTTCATAGATTTATAACACATTGGCTAATTACTGATTTCACAGGTTTTCCGTAATGTAATTAAATTTAGTAACAATAATGTCAATTAAGCTTGAGAGATTGTAATTATTACTATACATATTTATCCAAAGAATTTTTTAATACAGTACAAATTATTGTCAACTAATTTATATTGTATAAGTTATAGATTAGACTCCTGGGCCCCCACACGAGTGCAGTCTCAATAGGGCCCAGTATTCTTATTTAATAAATAAATAAATAAATAAATCTGCAATGATAAGAAAATGTTAAATTTTCAAGTTAAAAACATAATTTTTTGCTTTGTTGTTAACACTGGCCTATTTTATTTTTTTACCAACTCAAAACTATCCTAATAGTATTTATTTATAGTATTATTTCAATGTAGAACGTTATTGGAGTTTTTTTCATTAAAAAAAAAAAAAACAATTCACACCAAACATTACCCAAAATATTTTTTGATTGAAAAGAAAATTGAAATGCAATAAAATAAAGTCAAAAACAAAATAAATTAATTTAACATCTTGAAATGAAAATTTAAGTATTTAACTCAGTGATTTCAGGTTGATTAAAAAACAATTAAGTTAATGTATAGTAGTAACATTTTGCCAAATAAAATAAACCTTTTAGCTCATTGATGCCTATAGAATTGCAGTAGCTATTTAAGAATTTAATCTCAGTGTTTACAGGGGACTCCAACTCCTTGTTTCATGCTACTCCACTGTATAGAAATCGGCATCAACGTTAATAATATATTGATCTATTAATCTAAGTCCTTAAGCGACAATAGAGCTTGGTGAGTGGCAAACCATAATTTTCAGTTAACTTTCGATAGTATATTATGGTTTTTTTTTTGTAATTTAGTTTTTAGGAACATACAATTTTTAGAAATATGAGCTTGGTCGGGGAACCCTCTAGTGTCACCCCCGAGTCCGACCGGAATCAGACCACCACATTTATTGTGCAATCACCTGTTGCTGCTGGTTCCGGTACACTTTCCGCTGCTGGCGCTGCGTCGGGCGCGACCTCAGCGGCGGGCGCTTCTTCCGGTTTAACTTCCTCGGTAGCCGCAGGTGGTTGTTCGCCTTCAGCCGGTGGAGCTTCCGCCCCTTCAGCCGGTGCAGCTGCTGCCGGGTCCGCTGGTTCCGTCGCCGCGGTGGCCGGGTCGGTCGGCGCCGCCGCTTCAGTGGCCGGGTCGGTCGGTACTGCCGTTTCGGCTGCAGGGTCGGCAGGCGCCGCTGGATCGGCTGGGTCAGCGGGTGCTGCAGGGTCGGCTGGGTCAGTGGGTGCTGCGGGATCACCTTCGGCCGGGGGACCACCTTCGATTCCTTTGTGCGTGAAAAACATAATAATAACAATATATTATTTTTAGGCTCAATTTTAGCTGTTATACCATACTGGCAACTACTTATGAAAAGTCTGTTTCAAATAGGTCAAACTATCACAGAACTAGCGGGAGTACGCATAGTAGAGTTTTTACGTTCCACAACACACCAGAAACTCAAACTCAAACTGTCAGGCAGTTGTTCTATGAACAGTGGTGCCGGATCTCAAAATGTGGGTACCCCGCGGTGCAAAAGAAAAACCCCTGTTAGCTATTAAGGTGCTCACTTGTTTTCATTTAAAACGTATTTTACAATAATTGCAAATTACAATATAAAATTTAAAATACATTTTCAGCATTCCCAATAATTTATTCACTCCTCGAACATAATATTATGATTGGATATAATAATTATTTAATGATCTACTGGAAATCTAATATGTTTAAAATCGTAAAAATAAGATAAATATTATATTATATTTTTAATATTTTTTTCATTTATATATAACATCATAGTACTGAAACTATAATATTATAATATAGAGGTCGACGATGTGATAACATAGGCCACCAAACAAATAGCCAAATACGATGACCCCAGAACGTAATGAGCCAGTTAAAGATACTGAGTTAAATATTTAACTGATGACCACGAAAAAAAAACACAAATATTTTGATAATCCGATTGCTTATCGCTCCACCTCGCTTTTGTCCACGGACACACCTAGTGGCTATAGTATATTATAGAGTTTTCAATCACCTTCGTCAATTGATTTTTGTTTTTTGATAGTGTCTTTGACCACAGAGTTCAGTAGGGGTTGTGGTATGGCCGTGACGGCTGTCATGAGTTTGTCAACTAGGTCGTCGACGCTGAGCGGGTTATTCGAGCACACGGTGTCCTTGAGGTATGCCCAAAGCTCTGGCATAAAACAAACAAACAGTTTGATTAATATTCACGTTGAACAGTTATTATTAGATTTGATCGAAACTTACCTTCTGGTGCCGGGGAAGGTGGTTGGGGTTCTGGTTCGGGTTCAACCACTGGTTCTGGTTCGAGTATCTCGTTGTCGCTCTGCGCGTCTTCCGTCGCGTCCGTCAGATCGCCCGCGACCGATTCTCCTTCGGTGGTCAAACCGTCGTCGGTCTTTTCGTCTTCGGTACCGTCGCCGTCTTCTCCTTCGCCCTATTTTGTTTCATGAACAGACGACGTGAGAAATGTAATTTTTTACCAACGCACATTTAGACTATGATATGGCCATCTTGCAATTCAGTTTCAAACGTTACTTATAATATTCTATAACCGTCCGCCTATGGTGAAAGAAAAAATAAATCCCTATTATGCGTAAAATATTTCTTTTTATCACCTCAGACGGACGTGCACTTACCTGTGATACGATTTTACTGATTATCTCTCTCTTATCACACTCCGAGTCGTCTTAACCATAATATTAGGGACTGCGCCGAAGAAAACTCATTTATTTTTACTAAATTATAACGAGGAGGATGTCATTCAGCAGAACTTAGCACTAAATATATCTCGCAATATTAAACATTACACACATACCTATCTAGTTTTAAGAAAATGTCTATAATGTTCCTATAGAAATAACTCTACGTGGTATAAAACAGATACAATTAAAGCATTAATATTAAAAATAATATTGTAATACATATTGCATATTATTTTAAATTACAAAATGTATATTCCTGCAGGGTACTTTTAAACTACCTATTTAAAAATCAACCTATTCAATGGTTCAAAAAGTCTCACTGCTCTAATTTAATGATATGTATACTGAACACTACTTTAAGCACATGGTTGTCTCTGTCCATTGATTTTTTGTGCAAGATCGCCCCAATTTTTTCCTTTAATAGAACATTTAATCAAAGTCTGATATTTAGAATTTTTAAGTATACCAATAGAGTAGTAGGTACAAAAATTATCAGTCATTTAAAAATGTGGTCTATTGGTATAGGTACGTACAACACAGGGGCAATACAAACTACTGTTTTTCAAACTAGAATCCCATATTTTTACTGTAAATTATTTATCAGATGTTTTTTAGAAAATAGTGATCGATCTAAATCAAAATTCTAATGAGTAGTTTCTGATTTATTATAACGTTTATACTAAAAATAGGTTTACTGAAATATAAAACTTTATGTAATATTCAGGGCTAGTGAGTTCATGCATTTGCATATCAATCTTGCTAAGTCGTATTTAATGCTAGGTGACATAGAAATCCATTTCAAGGTACTGTGGTTAAGTATGTGAAATTTTATGTTGCATATTTTTGCATATTTAGAGGTTTTTTAACTATTTGGCATATTTATACGTTTTTCTATTTTATTGTGCATATTTTTATCAAAATTTGATCAAAATGCAATAATTTATATTTTTACACAGTATAAAATATATGGAAATTTTCGCAACATCAAATTATTAAAATAGAGCAGATAAAGTGAGTACAAACGTACGTATACGAATGTATAGGTACGTATAGCCCGCATTAATAGCAATTAGTAGAAAACATGTTATATGAAAATAGTCTTTACTCTTATAGTCTTATCTGACTTATCTTCTTGATACTTTTACAGTGGTTTACTGGTTTATTCTAGACTTTAACAATATTTCGAAAATCTTATATATTTTTAAACTTCGTTTTGAAATTATCGATCATGCCGAAAAAAAAAACTGTCATCGGCCTGTAAACTAAGACAATTAGTAAAGGAATTTGGTGAAAATATATTCTCGGCCGACAATAAAATATTATTTTGTAAGGTTTGCGAAGTAAAAGTCGCGAGTGTAAAACGCTTTAGTGTTGTGCAACATATTAATGCTGAGAAACACAAAACATCACTTCACCTACTGCAATATAATAAAATATAACTTTTAATAAACTTTTAATAATATGAATGGACATTTTTTGTTATTCCAAAATTTACTTATAGTATTTTTATTTTTTAACCTACATATTTTTGATACATATTTTTATATTTTTAGGGCATATAAATGCATATTTCTGAACTTTTAAAGGCATATTTCAATGCATATTTTTCCAGCTTTTAGTGCATAAGTGCATACTTATTTAGGCATTTTTTAGAGCATGAACTCACTAGCCCTGGTAATATTAGATTGAGGTAGTACCTATCCATTTATATTAATAGATCAATAGTAATTACTACAATTTTCAATTCATCTAAGTTCCCAAATATACTTCACCCATTACCAAACACATATTGTCCTTAGTAGGTACTTAAACAAAGTTATATAACTCAAAAATTACACTTTCGGATGTTGATTTAGATACATCAAAATTCTCAAAAAAAAATATCTGTTAGATAGTTGAAAGTGAAAAAAGGTGGGTCTTTTTTGAAAAATAGAATTTTCTATTGTTACAGTTCCATCCATAAGTGGGCCAACAAATCTTAAGTATTCGAAAATATGGTTTTCAAGAGTAAAATTTAAAAATTCCATAAATCAGAAGTTTAATATATGCATAATTCAAGCATAAAAATGGGATGAATATAGCTTAAAAGTTCCCCTTGTAGATATTGTATAATAATTATAAGTTTTAACGAATGGGTCAAAATTTAAATTGTGGAAAAACTACGAACGTCATTTCTTTTGGGCGAATCACCATTTTACCTGTTCAGTAAAAACAATGTGTTAAGACGAGTTCCTCATACTTTGTTTGGCAGTGTACATAGGCGAAAATTGGGGGGGAGGCTTGGGGGTGCTAAGCCCCCCCAAACTTAGCCATAGCCTCTCCAAAAACCTAGGACATACAATTTTAATATGCTATATTGCAATGGTCTGCTTGCCTTTAATATATTCAGCCATCCCAAGTCAAAGTTGAAATTGCGCCTAAGGCCGTGTATGATACAAAATAAAATATAAGAGATAAAATATTGTGAATATTAAAATAAAATATAATAGCAACCTAAAATTAATAATTATGAAAAAAATAACATCAGTTTTTCTCGAAAAATGTAAACGTGAAGTCGTTATAATGTTAGTGCATACTTGTTAAATATTTAAATACTATTTTTGTATTTTAAATACATTTGAATTACTCTTAGTGTTTTAAAATATATATTTTGAATACTTCTTATTATATTTTCAATGAAAAAATATTAAATACAAATTCTTTTAATCTAGTTTTTTAGTTTTGGATTTTTCGGTAATTTATTTCCCTAGAAATAGCTAATCGTCGACATGTCGACGACGTACAGTTATTACATTTTGTTATCGATGTTAATTGTAAATATTTGATAAACAATTCGAACTTATTAAATGGAAATTAATTTTTGTGCAAACATTTAGATTTAAATACCTATTTGAAAATATTTTAAATACTTTTTAAATGTATTTTTATTTGTATTTTAGAAAAGTCATTTAAATACTTTTTAATTGTAGTAGGTAGGTATAGGTATTACTATATTATTACTAAAAGAAAAATAGTCCCAAATGTATTTTAATCAAACTATGTAATACCGAGTAGGTATTTAAATTCTATAATTTTCAGTTGATTATGACAACTAGAGCAATAAAAAGTATAAAAATAAGCTGTATAAAATATGCAGTGAAATTCATGAAAATATTAAAAAAATAAGCGAGGAAAATATTTTAATTGAGTATTATGATAAAAAAAATACACAATTTTAATTTGATAATTATTATTATTATTATTATTAGTCTGTAAATTTATGAGGCATTAAAATAATTTAAAACAAATTAAACAACTTATAATAAATATGTAGTGTGTATCTACTTAATGAACTTGTCTTTATTTAAATTCCTATTTAGAGGCTAAAAAGATTATTTTTAATTTTCTACTTGACGAAATACCAATTATTTTTTGTTGACATTTTTGCTTAAATATTGGAATTTCTCATAATATTCACAAATATGCAATAGATAACCAATATACATATATAGACATATAGTTATATGAAAAAAAATGCGATAAGCTTCAATAACTATATTATCGTTTATAAAGACGTCTGGCATAAATCCAAAAATGTGAAAAGGAAATAATATACAATTACATGAAAATCCGCTCTCTGAGATTATAGATAACTGTCATGATGTCATCTGTGAAAATTTAGAAAAAAGAAAGTGGTTTGATAATTGAAAATAATATTATTTTCAAACAGGTCATGCTTTCGCCTAGGTAGGTACCCCACATTAATCAATTTATTATTTTTATATCGTTATAAATACGCAGAAAAAGATCGATTTTTTATAAATACTATTACTTATTACTTATTAGGTATATACGTATACAGAGTATTTTTTTTCACTGCGTCTACTAAGGACGGAGACAAAACAATGTCGAGCTTATATAATATATAAATAATATTTGTTTTCTAAAATAAATCGCCAGACGAAGTTGACCTAAAAAAATAAAATACATTTGCTGGGCGTCTACTGGTAACCCCCACCCAAAAATTGACTACGACATACATTTTTTTCGATTTCCCCTCTTTTTTCGTCGGTAATATGATATATGACGTAAGCACTGGGAATTGGAAACACTTAAATAAATACAATTCTGGCCTCGAGCCATCCGTGTAGGATATTATGAGGACATTGTCTACAATATAGTACCTACTGCTCCGCTAGCATAACTTTTCGATTTTTCCACACGAAATTTTCCGGCTCTCTTAAGACCTAATCTCCGCGACACCGCCGCCCGGTTTTTCCTTTTCTGCTCGACCTTTACGCTATTAATCATATTTCTGTCTCACTATCGCCTGATTTCAGGCACTTCCAAAATCTCTATTTTTTATTATAAGCGCGTCTCTGTTGTTATTGTTTTGTAACCGATATCGAATTTCG